ACACAAACCATAGCCATGTGGGAATCCAGTGCCCCAACCATCATGTCACCTTCTGGTCCCAGGAATCCCTGTTTTACAATATTTCTCTTACCCCAGCAAATTCCCTTACTGTCAAAAGATTGACACAGTTATTCTCTGCTCCCACAACCAGATGTTTCATTGTATTTATTTAGGTAGTTCAAAATCTGCAACACCTCTGGTCCCAAGCATCTCATTTAAAGGATCCTGTCTCTATGTATATCTATATCTATATATAAATCCTACCCCCCTACCCCCCCCCCCGAGGACACAGCCACTTGCCAGAGAGAGGGAGAGAAGAAAGCATCCCCCACCCCAAGGGTTATGGTCACACCACAGTCCCTTGACCACCAGGCCATGGGCTGGCCCCACCCTATGTCTTAAAAAGCTTAACATGGGGCCAGCAGATGATATAACACTTACGCCCCTGAACTCCCACATCAAGTGCCGGTCCCAGTGGCTTCAAAATCACACTGAGCATGTGTGCTTGTGTGCCCAAGGTCCTGGAAGGAGAATGAAGGAGAAGGGATTGTGGTGTGGCCATCCTCCCGGGGGATGATTTCTCACTTTCCCTCTCTCTGTCTCTCTGTCTCTCTGTCTCTCTCTCTCCAGCAAGTGCATGCACCCTAGGACAAAAATCTCTTTAAAAAAAAAAGTTACACATAAACTTTCCATAGTATCTATCTATCTATCTATCTATCTATCTATCTATCTATCTATCTATTCTTCCTATAGCATTTTTAACTCAGCATTTGTCCCAAAGAAAAAGAAATACATGTTCAGACAAAGTCTTGTATGTGAACGTTCACAGCACACAGTAGTCCCAAACTGGAAACCATCCAAATATCTATCAGTGAATGGAGAAACAAATGGGTGAGGCTTGGGTTAGATCACAACCACTGATCTGCTTTTTCTCTATATAGATTTGCCTTTTCTGGGTATTTCAGTAAGTGGAATCATAAATAAATAGGCATTATTCCTATTTATTGATGAATATTTCCATTGTGTGAATATACTACATTGTGTTTCTAGCCAGATAGGAGTTTTCCCTTTCCTGAAAGTTCTTCAGTGTCTCCCCACTGTAGCGTAGACAAAGCCCACACTTCTTTTTTTTTTTTTTTTTTTTTTTTATGTTTTTGTTATGGAGGTTGGTCCTTCGCCCCCAGAGACAGAGAGACAGAAAGCGAGAAATCACCCCCCAGGGGGGATGGTCACACCGCAGTCCCTTATCCTGCATTCTCCTCTTGGGATCTTGGGCACGCACACACACGTGCCCAGCATGAATTTTAAGCCACCGGGTCCAGGATGCGAACCACAGTCGACTACGTGGGACTCCAGTGACATAGCCATTACGCTAACTGCTGGTTCCCAAGCCCGCACTTAAGTGGTTTTTGTGTAATATGTCCTTCCCCGTTTTCCAGCCTCCTGCCTCTACACAGACCTGTTACTCATACTTACCCAGAAAAGATGGTCTGTGGACCACACGTGTCTTCATCACCTGGGAGCTTGTTGACATGCACCATCTCAGGCTCTACCCCTAAAACCTGCTGAATCCGAATCTCCATTTTTTTCTAATATGCCAGAGGGCACATGCCCTTACCAGAGAGAGACTGAGAGAGAACAGGAAAGTGAGAAAGGAACCCTCCTTGGGGGGTGGTCATGCCACAATCCCTTCTACATTTCTCCTTCCTTTTGAGATTTTGGATGTGCATGCACACATGCCTGGTATGTTTTTCAAGCCACCTGGTCCAGGACTCCAACCAGGTAGTCAACCATGTGGGATTCAGCCATTGGATGGCCCTAAATCTACATATTTTTTGGAGAGGTTTTTGCTATAGAGCACATGCGCTCACCAGAAAGACAGAGACAGAAAGTGAGGAATCACCCCCCGGGGGGATGGCCATGCCGCAATCCCTTCTCCTCCATTCTCCTCTCGGGATCTTGGGCACACATGTACACGTGCCTGGCATGAGTTTAAGCCACGGGGTCCGGGACCCGAACCACGGTCGACTACAGGGGAGTCCAGCAACATAGCCATTAACACTAACTGCATTTTAACAAAGTCATCTGCTGTTAAAGTCTGAGAAGCACCTTCCTTTTCCTCACCCATCAGAAACTCATGGTTGCCTCCATGCCTTTGCATCTGTGCTTTGTTCCTCCTGGAACACTTCTCCCTCTTCCTCCTTACCCTCTAAACTGGGTATGTTGTTGCTCCTGTAGACACTCCAACATACAATTCTTGGCCTCTTCACTCACTGATCACATCTGGGACCTAGTGTCATGCCTGGCTGGCAGCTCGTCTCTTTTCCGACTGCCTGAGAGCTCCTTGTGTTCTGTGAGTCTGCCACAGTCCCTGACACATAAGAGGTGCTCAATAAATAAATTAGTTGGTGAACTAATTTCTGTACTGGTTAGAACTAGGGCTTTGGGCTCAAAGCCCATTTGTACTGCCTGGGTACAAATTCTCGTTCAGCCAGTGTTAGTTGCTTCTGTTTCCTCATCTGTGATATGTGAATAAGAGTTCCTACTTAAAGGGTTATTCTGAAGGCTGTTATTGGGTCAAAGAATCTACTGCTGTGCCTGGCACATAGCCTTCAGGAGCTGTTAGCTGCCATTGTTATCAGCGTCATTATTACATTCTCATCATGTTATAACGCCACTCACCTGCCTGAAAAGAACACACCTGTTTCCACATTCTGACCGGATGACCATAAGCAAGTTATTTCATCTCTAGGTTTCAGATTAACTGGCAGTCATCTGTGAAATGGTGACAAATCTCCAGGTAGTTGCACCTGTGAGAACAGCATGAACCAGTGTTTGTGAAGTGCTTAGCACAAAGCAGGCACTTAGTAAGTGGAAGATCCCACGTGGAAGACGGGAGTATGCCTGCCACAGAGCCTCGTACTTAGTAGGTACTTGGTGACTGTGGCTTCTTGTTGCTTTGTGATGAGGTTTTCCCGCTTACGTAAATGTTATCCTCATTGTTTTCTCTTTTTGTTTGTTTTCGGTTTTGTGTGTGTGTACTTGCTCCATTGGTTTGAGACTTTGGAACAGAAATGTATTGCGTTCTTTCAGGATTTACTTTTCATTCCTCTGGAGTCTGAGCTCTCAGGGGGGCGCTTGAGTTTCCCAGGGCAGAGTCTCAGCTAGGTCTGGAGGATTCTATTTCAAAAGAAGGTAGAATTGAAGTGACTTCTTAGATTTAATTGGCTTGATAACAGAGGAGATTATAATCCTCTGCCTCAGCTTCAGATCACTTATCAGATGAACAAAGAGGTCTGGTGTCCAGCGTTTGACCAAGGGAAATTCAGAACATGTTTTGATTAGCAAGAAATTATGATAACGGTACTTTAATGTAAGGGGAATGGTTTACTGGTTATGAAATGTTTCCAAATCTATGTTCTTTTTTAAGCCCCAGTTCTTTTTATTTGCCCAAGGGCACTTGTGCTCACCAAAGAGAGGGAGTGGGGGAAAGCGCCCCCAGTGGGGAATTAGTGCAGGTGGAGAGATGGCAGATACTTAAACAACCATCCCAACACGAAAGAGCTCCAGTAGGGCCTTAAACAAATGCAGGTTTAAATACATGTCACACAGCTTCGGGCACAATCTTTGACCATGTGCAGATGTGAAAGTTCCTTTGGATATGGGGTGATGCTTCCATGTGCTTCGTCCAGTGTCAACATGGAGCTGTGTACAAAGTACCTTGAAAAGTAAGACAGGAAGAAAATGATTCCCCCTGTAGGAATCTAAGGGGATTCTTGAAGGAAGAGACATTTCAGCTGTACTTCTGAGGGACTTAGGAATTTAGTGAGACAGGCTCAAGTGTCAGAAACAACTGCTCCTGAAGGGCAAGGACAATCTCTGGGTCTCCTGAAGGCTTAGAGAAAGGGAGGGGATGCTGCTAGAAAGGCATCCTAGGGTTAGGGTTATTCCAGCCTAGGTGTTCAGAACAGTAATGTTTTCTTTTGCTTTTTTTTTTAAGAGGTTTTTTGCTGTAGGACTTGTGCACTAGTCAGAGAGACAGAGATAGAGTCACAGAAAGACAGAAATCATCCCCCATGGGGGATGACTGCGCTGCAATCCCTTCTCCATTCTCCTTTCAGGATTTTGGACACGCACAAGCTCTCTGTGTGAGTTTTAAGCCACTGGGTCCAGGACTCGAACCAAGGTCAACTATGTGGGAGTCTAGCAATGTAACCATTATGCCATCTGCTAGTAACTCTTTTGCTTCCTTTTTAAAAATCACTTTTTTGTTGCCGGCAGGTGGTGTAGTGATTAAAGGCGCTGGACTTCCACATGGCTAATCTTGGTTCAAGTCCCGACCTGGTAGCTTCCTTTTTCTCTCTCTGTCTCTCTCTGGTCAAATTGGAAAATAACAATGATAAATAAAGTTTAGGTAAAATAATTCTTTTCTTTTTTGGAGAGGTTTTTGCTATAGCGTGTGTGTGCTCGCAAGAAAGACAGAGAGAGACAGAGAGACAGAAAGCAAGAAATCACCTCCAGGGGGATGGCCATGCCACAATCCCTTCTCCTCCATTCTCCTCTTGGGATCTTGGGCACGCACGCACGCATGGTAGTGACATAGGTGCTTCCTGACAGAGCGAGCCTGTTGTTACAAAGACAAATGGGAATTCGTGGAATGTTGGAGCTCTGTTTCCGATTAGCTCTGTTGGCAAGTGTACTGTGAAATGGTTCAAAGAGCACTGATGTGAAGGAGGGGTGCTGTGGCTCCTGTGTGATAGTCCTCCCCTTTGCCCAGCTGTTACTTGGTCCATTTGGGGGCTCATTTCTGGAAGTGCAGAATCATTGCCTTGTAGCATAGTTGGGGACATCTGGGAGGCAGCATGTACAATGGTGTCAGGCTTCTCAGTGACGGCTGACTCCGGCTCAGAGCAGACATGAAGGTGGCATAACTTGATCCACCCCAGGGGGACGTTCTCTTTTTTCCCCATTCCAACTGCAGTCTCCCTTCTTCCGAGCAGGATTGGTTGCCGTGGTCCCTGCTGCTTCTCTCTCTCACACGTGAAACAAACACTTTCTATGTTCCTGGGGTTGCACCAATCAACTTCCACCAGAACGACCCTGTAGAAATCAAGGTAAGTGTGTTCTTGAATTGTTGATGGCTCTGTGCTAGGCAGCCTGCTTGGAGGACCACTGGGAGCTGTCCATGCCCGTCCTGTGGTTGCAGAGAACAAAGATCAGGGCCAGTCACCCAGGGCAGAAGAGGTCTTGCTGCATGCCATCAGGGCAAGGAGCCCTGCAGTTCCAGCTGCTCTGCCCCACCACTCATCTTTCTCTGTGCCTCTTGCTCTCCACATCTCCCTGTGTAGTCTGTTCCTCTTTCCTTATTAATCATCCTTTTTGGGTCACTGTCTCCGTGTATGCCTGTGTGCACGTGTATCTCTTAGCTCTCATTTTCACTTTGTGTTTCTTGTGTGTTGTGTGTCCATGTCTTTCTCCATCTTTGTCTCACTCCACTTGCCTTCTCCCCGTGACGTCTCTACCTCTTCATTCCCACCATCCTCCTCTCTGTTGTCGTCTTTCTCTGAATAGCTCATAGTGTCTGCTCATACTGTTCATATATATTTTTTTTGAGGGGTTTTTGCTACAGGGTGTGTGTGCTCGCCAGAAAGAAAGAAACAGAGAGACAGAAAGTGACAAATGCCCCCCCAGGAGGGATAGCCATGCCACAATCCCTTCTCCTCCATTCTCCTCTTGGGATCTTGGGTACACATGCACACGTGCCTGGTATGAGTTTAAGCCACTGGGTCCGGGACTCAAACTGCAATCAACTACATGGGAGTCCATTATGCCAACTGCTGGTTTTACTGTCCATATATTGTGAGCACCTCTCTTATTTGGCATTCAGACTGGTAGCTGGCAGGAACCATAATCAGAATAGCATTTATTGAGGGTTATTTGCAAGTCAGTCATTGTGTGTGGCTCAACTCAGTATGTCCCACAAGAACCCACTGAGGCCATGGGAAGTAAATCAACTTAGTTAAGGTCGGATGGTGAGGAGGACCTAGGGTTAGTTCAGAGCCCTGTCTCCTGACCGTGCAGTACCTGTCCTCTCACCGCTCTGTCCTAGCCCTCCCCAGATCACAGCTGGCAGCTCTGACTTCCAGTCTGCCCAGCTGAGGGGTGTGAGCAGGTGCCTTGGATGGGAAGAGAGAGGGTGGGAGGAAATGGAAGGAGAGGCTCATCTCTTTGTAATGTGGGTTCTTTTCTGATTGTCCAGAGAGAGGATACTAACGAACACGAAATTCTTATAATAGGCGATAACTTTTTGGCCATTTTTCCTCAAGTAATTAATGAAATGTTTGAAGAGATCCTCAATCCAAAACTCCTGAACTCATATATTTGTCTTAAGTTCATTAGAGGTAAGGGCTGACCTGAATCAATATAAAGCTGTTTGGTGACTTTATTTCCCTTAGCATGAATATTTTTGCAGACCCAGCTAGGGGATCCTAAGAAACCTGTGCATACCAAATATGCATATAATATTTCCCCTCTTAAATTCTGAAAAATACCTAATTCCAAAGCAAGCATTTTAAATAACAGTTGTAAAATTGGATTCTAAAAATATTTGTGTTTGTACATTTAGATAGTATATGAGGAGTGGTTGACAGTTTCAAAATAGTAAAGGTACTCTTAATTATATTTAGATTAAATTTTTGCACCATTTTGATTGGTTCTATGTAACTTGGGCGTTTTCTAATTTCTACTGTGTCTGGAGCTATAGCCTGTGAAATTGTACTATTTTCTTAACATTTTCCTTCATCATCATCTTAAACCTCATTTTTAATGACTGCGTAATATTTCATTGAATGACTTGATCATGGTTTATTACTAATTTTCATTGTAGGAGGTTTTCATTTTCCTCTTCTATTACTCAGAAAACAATGAGCACTTGCTCTGCCCTTCTAAGGCACCAGTGACCAAGACAAGCTTAGCTCTTAGATTCTGGTGGAGGAGGAGACTGGTTTTTTTTTTTTTTTAATAGGTAAACAAGGGTCAGCACCATGGCCTGGTGGTTAATGGAGCCAGATCCCATATGACCAAGTGTGTGGTTCAAATCCCAGACTGGCAGCTTAAGAAACACTCTGGGCGTGTGTGCATTCATGCCTTAAATCCTGACAGGTCGGCGTATTAGAGGAGAAGGGATTGTAGCGTGACCATTCCCTGTGAGGGATGCTTTCTCCCTCAATCTCTTCCTCTTCCTGTCTCTCTGTTTCTCTTTCTTGGGTGAACACACGTGCCCTTTGGTAAATTAATGGGGAACAAAGTAGGTAAATAAAACAATTACATTTTCTCAGACATGCAATGAAGTTGCATTGTTACAGTTGTTGAAATTGTGAAGAATGGGGAACTCCTTTAAAGTTTGGGGTTTATTTGTTTGTGTTTTAAATGTGAAAGGGTATGTGTGATTGCCAGAGAGAAAGAGCAAGTACCCCATTGGGGCATGGTCACCCTGCAGTTCTTTCTCCTCCATTTCTCCCTTCCATGAGGATTTAGGGCACACACCCACATGTACCTGCTGTGTTTTCAGGCTGCCAGGTCAGGACTCTTAACTGGTTGGCCATGTGGGATTCATCTCCCTTAACCACTAGGCCAGCCCTAAAACTTATTTTATTTCTTCCGTGAGTAGGAGAGAGAACCCCAGCAGGGTTTTAATGCTGCAGACCACCCCATAGCCACAGCTAGCTACAGATCATGGGCATACATGTACCCAGCCTATTCAGAGAGGTCTCTGGATGCAAACCTGGAACTTTCCCATGTGTGTCAACCTTGCAGAACTTCATGTGCTACCCTCTGGCTCAGGAATTCCTTTAGATAATGATGGTTAAGAAAGGACTCACAAGTGAAGGGAAGGTGCTGGATCCCACATGACCAACTTGTGGTTTGAGTCCTGGACCCAGTGACTTGGGGGAGAGAAAAAAGAAAAAACATACCAGGTGCACGTGCATGCATACTCAAAAATCCCGAGAGGAGACTGAAAGAAGGGATTGCCATTTCACTATCCCCCTGGGGGGTGATTTCTCACTTTGGATAAAAGGAAAACAACCTGTTTAAGACTCTTAGAATATATTTAATTTGGTTGTGATTTTAAACTAAATTTGTAATGCAATATAAAACTACTGAAATGCAGGGATGGCTCCATAGCCTGGTGGTTAAGGGAGTCAGAACCTACACGGCTGACCTCTTGGTTCACATTCCAAACTCATTGACTTGGAAAACACACAGGATACATGTGCTTATGTGCCCCACATGCTGACAGGATGGAAAAAGGGAGGAGAAGGGATTGTGGCATGACCACACTCCCATTGAGAGATACTTTCTTTCTAGAAAGTGCAGGTACCCTCAATTAAAAATAAGTAAATAAAAATAGGGGCCAGTAAATGGTGTAGTGGTTCAGTCACTGGAATTCCACATGGCTGACTGCAGTTCGAGTCCTAGACCCGGTGACTCATGCCAGGTGCATATGTGTGTGTGCCCAAAATCCCAAGAGGAGAATGAGACAGTATTGCAACATGTCCATCCCATCCCCTTGGGGGATGATTTCTCATTTTCTGCCTCTCTGTCTCTCTAGCAAGCTCACATGCCTATAGTAAAAATCTCTTAAAAATAAATAAATAGGGACTAGCAGATGGCATAATGGTTATGTCGTTAGACTCCCACATAATCAAGCACAGTTCAAATCTGAGACCTGACAGTTTAATACACACACTGGTACGTGTGCGCCCAAAATTCTGAGAGGAGAATGGAGGAGAAGGGATTGCAGCGTGGCCATCCCCCCAAGGCGTGATTTCTCACAAAAACTCTCTCTAAAATAAATATGTGAAACCTTTAAAAATGAAACCAATGGAAGATGAAATCATTCTGAATCAAGTCTATATGGTATATAATAGTGTACTGGTCATCCACCAGTACACATCTGCTACAGTTGGTTCACCTGTTAGGTAATATTACTAGTGTACCAAAGATATGTGAGTACCTGGGAGGATTACTGAAAGTCATCTTGGTTTCTGCTGGATTGAAGGATAATAGCTTCTAGGACCCCACCATAGTAGGGAGGCTGGCGGGTCACGTGGGAGGCCCAGGTTTGGTTCCAGACCGACCTGAACATGTTGGGTATGGTAGTGCACGCCTTTCATCCTAGCTGATGGGGCTGTTGGAGCAGAAAGATCACAACACGGTGGGATCCTGTCAAAATACTTACCTCTGTCTTCCCTTTCCTCTCTCTGTCTCATAAAGGAAAAAACAGAATAGCATTCTCTCTTTTCCCACCAGGCTGTGAAGCTCACCAGCTCTCGAACCCAGCTACCTTATGAATACTACTCACTGCCTTTCTGCCAGCCCAGCAAAATAACCTACAAGGCAGAGAATCTGGGTAAGTTCTTCTCACACTCTTCTCAGCCTGACCCAAAGGAACCCTAGCTTGGTTTTTATAGACAATAGCAGTCGACCCTTAACCTGTCTAGCACTTACCATGTGCTGGACACCATTTTTACATAGTTTATCCACCTATTAATTTATTTAATCCTTTTAATAGCCTTAGGGAGGTGGTGGCAGTGTTTATTCCTGTTTTGTAGTTTGCCTCTGAATATACTATTAGTTAATAGCTAAACTGGACTTCGAATCTGCCTGGTCATTCTGTAAAGTTAGTTTGTCTGCTTGGCTTCTACTCAGACCTTGATTTTTAAATATCCCCTTCTTTCTAGTGCCTTCTATCCCTTTCTTTTTAATTGATAGAGTAAGTGATTGCTTTTTGCCCTAAAGCCAGCAGAGACTTCACCATAGTTTTTGCTATGTAAGACATTCCTCATATAATGTGTGAAGCACCCAGAACAGTGTCTGGCACAAATGTTCCATAAATAGCAGCCACTTTATTCTAATTTAAACAGTTTTCCACTTGGTGAATTGGGGGCTTAAAGGAAAAAGACATTTGGAGGCATCTCTTGAGGATACAATTGCTAGTGTCTCCTCTATACCTGTCTTTCTGTTTAGTCCTAGAGATAAAAGCACAGGTAGATGCCTTCCCTGACCTCAAGGAACTTAAGAGTTTTTCCTTTTCTCTTGCACTTTAGGAAGGAAAAGGGAGAGAACTGATTCTTTCTTGAGAGGTTTTTGCTATAGGGCATGTGTGCTTGCCAGAAAGACAAAGACAGAGAGACCGAAAGAGAGAAATCACCCCCTAGGGAGGATGGCCACGCCGCAATCCCTTCTCCATTTTCCTCTCAGGATCTTGGGCACACACACACACACGCCCCAGATGTGAGTTTAAGCCACCGGGTCCAGGATTCGAACCGTGGTCAACTATATGGGAGTCCAGTGACATAGCCATTACGCCAACTGCTGGTCCCAAAAGGGGAGAACTGATTCTTAAACAGTCTCTTGAAAGGGTGGCCTTCTCGCTCAGAGGCACCCGTGGCTCAGATAGTTCCAGAACCCCTAGCTGACAAGTATGTTTATTGCTAGATGTTGAGGATCATGGACCAATCAGAGGCAGGCCTTGGAGCCAGTTAAACCCAAATCAGGTAGTACTGTCTCCCCCAAATATCACCTGTGCCTAAGGGGTCATGGCTGGTCCAGTGACCGAGTTTCTTCTCTTGCTACCATTACCCTTGCCTCTCCATGCCATGCTCCAGCCACCTTGCCCCTGCTTGGGAAGCCTGACCCACTTGATCCCCCAGGTTCCTGGGCCCTCACAGCCATTCTTCTCTTCCCCCTGGAGCTTTGCTGGCATGGCATTCCAAGGCTGTGAGACTGCGGGTCCTTCCCTCTCTGAACCTCTGTCAAATCTTCCTGAAGCTGGGGAGTGTTCCTGCCTCACACCGTGGAGACGTCTGTGTACAGAAGTTATCCTGCCATATTATATCTCATTTTGTTGTGGCTCCCTTTATGACTGAGGGTCTTTTTGAGTGGAGGATTTGTGTCCTACATTCCTCTCAGTTTCTAGCCCAGTGCTGACACGTATTGGCGTTCGGTAAATGCTGGTGTGTTACCAGAGTGGAGAAAAACATCCCTGAGTGCATGTCCATCGATCACAAGCCTTTTGCTTTACGGTATCATCATCATCGTCACCATCAATTGATTACAGGGCTCTTCTGTGAGCAGGATGCCATTCTAAGCACTTCCGTGCCTTAACTTATTTAATTCTTACAGCAACCCTATGGGGTAAACTGCCTTACTGCCCCCTTATTGTAAGTAAGAAAGAGGCCTAGGAGGTGAAGGCACTGCCTTGGGTCACTCACCCAGTGGGTGGGAGGACCCCAGGAGCTCCAGTTCCAGTAAGCAGCACACTCTGTACACCCTCATACTTGATACTTATGGTAACCCTGCAAGCCGAATATGTTGTCCTCAGTTCATAGCGGAGGAAACAGCCACTTCAAGAGTTTGAGTCTTGCTCGTGGTCATGTGATCTATAGGTGAAGAAATTAAGATTTTTGTCCAGGTTTTTTGACTCTTAAGCCAGAGATCTTCCTTTGTGTGTATAGTAGGGGGACAGGCGGGGAGTGTTTTAGATAGGTGTGTCCTTATCCTCAGCCTCCCTAGTAGCTGGGGCTACAGGCTCATGCCACCTCGCTCAGCCTTTCAGCGTAGGCTGTGACTCAAACTTGGGCCTACCACATAGCCTCAGTCTACCAAGCAGCAGCATCCAGCCCATACCATTGTGACTGGGCCAAGCTAGAGTTCTGACATTGTCTCACACTCTCTCCAGAAAGCCTCATTTGGGTTGAGCACTGTGCTCCTCATTGTCACATTGATGGAGAGTTGTGTCATGAGTGCGTTGGGTCAACTCTGGCACATGTAATAGAATACCCCATCAGCCTCTCTTAAAGGTCCTGTTTTTCAGCTTGTTGCTCATAATTAAAAGGAAAATTTCTATATTAGAAATGAGCCACTCCAGGGACCAGCAGATGGTGTAATGGCTATGTCACTGGACTCCCATGTAGTCAACCACAGTTCGAGTCCCAGACCCAGTGGCTTAAACTCATACCAAGCACGTGTGCATGCATGTCCAAGATCCCAAGAGGAGAATGGAGGAGAAGGGATGGCAGTGTGGCCATCCCCCTGGGGGAGTGATTTCTCACTTTCTGTCTCTCTGTCCCTCCGTTTTTCTGGCAAGCGCATGCTCTCTATAGCAAAAACCCCTCCCCACCAAAAAAAAAAAAAAAGAAAGAAAGAAAGAAAAGAAAAGAAAAGAAAAGAAAAGAAAAGAAAAGAAAGTGAGCCACTTCAGGGACCAGCAGGTGGCATGGTGGTTAAGGTGTTAGATGCTCCCACGTGGCTGCAATTCGAGTCCCAGACCCGGTGGCTTGCTTTCTCACTTTCCCTCTCTCTGTGTCTGTGTGTGCGTATGTGTGTGTGTGTGTATGTGTGTATCTGGTCAAATTAAAATAAAATGAATGAATAAATAAAGTTTAATAATTCTCTAAAGAAAAAAGGAATAAGCCACTCCAGACCGGTGTGTCCTCTCTTGGTTGAAATTTAACTTCTGAATATCAAGAAGTGATCCCACCTTGCTCGGTCTATAGCCCTGTTCCTCTCTGTAGTTCTTCCTCTCCTCAAATAAGCTCTTTGTTGACTCGAAAAGAGGGCAGTCAGGCATGTGTAGAGGAAAGATCATCCTCATACGGTCACAGGCAAGCCACTGTTCATCTCTGGGCTTCAGCTTGTTATCTGTAAAATGCCATTTCTGCAGTGGATCATGCAGATACTTACTGGTGTCCTTGTTCACTGACCAGTCCATCCCTGGGTTTTGCAGAGTTGCCTGCATTGCCAGATTTCCAGAATGGACAGAAGAGGGAGAGGCTTTCATCTCCTCCTCCATCTCTCACCATCTCCTCTCCTGGATGGCCTCATCCATACTCAGGGCATCACTTGCAGCCTCCTACCTTGAATAGTTGAGTGCTGGCCCCTCCAGGGTGCAGCTCACGACCCTGCCATTTGCTATCTATAGGCCAGCAACTGTCCTGATCTCTCCTCTGAGCCTTAAATCTTGATGTCTTAACTGCCTACTGGCCATATCCCAACTGCAAATGCCTTCTATCTACATTTGCTATTCTTTCTGGTTTTTTACTAAGGACCTGGTTGTAAGACACCTTACAATCTTCCTCATATGCACTATTCCTCACTCTTGTGTCCAGCCACCACCAAATCTCACCTCAGTGTTCCTGATTCAGAATTCTCTACCCCACCATGCCCTCTCTTCTGGCCACCATTGTCACTCACTTGTGTCCTTTGCTTTCTTTTCAAAACGCCAGTGATCTTTCTGTAGCCAGAATTAGACATCTTCTCCAACCCGTGTTAGAAACCATTCATTGGCTTGCGTTGTCTCCTGGATAAAGGTCAGACTTTGTGTAGCCCACAGGCTCCCTTATGTCCATCTCTTGCCTATCTCTCCAGCTCACCCCAAATCACTCTCACCCAGTTCTCTGCATTGCAGCCACACAGACCTTTCAAGTTCACCATACCTTTGCACATACTTCTGTCTAGAATTTTCTTTTTTAAATTTTATTATTACTATTTTTAAATTTGTACTCACCAGAGAGAGATATATAGAGAGAAAACAAACTGCCGGGTCCTGTCTAGACTATCCTTGCCCCATCTCTACCTAGTTAACTCCTCTCTTCCTTTAGTGCTTACTTCAAGGACCACTTCTTCAGGAAAACTTTCCTAGACCTACTTTCCTATGTCTACAGCAAGTTATACGGCATATTCTCATTTTGCTGATTAAATAATCAAAGTCTGTCTTCCTACTAGACTGTAAGCTCTGTGTCTGGTCACGACTTGACACATAGCACATACGCAGTACATGTTTATGATGGAGTGAATGAGTGACTAGAGCATTAGGCAGAGGGAGCCGTAGCAAGCTGATTACTGGTAGGTGAGTATTAGACCAAGTACATCTGGAAGCATTGGTCCTGCCTGTTGGCATAGGTCAGTCTCCATGAATGTGCCCCCGTTTCATATCATCACAGTGGAGTTATTGAACTGCTCAGAATGAATGCGATGTTGGTTTTAGGTGATAGTCCCTAACTGTTCAGTAGCTGTCAGCATGATGTCTGGCAGTGGGATACTCTGAGGTAACAGGCATATAAGGGGCATGCCAGTTCATTAAGTAAGAAGGTATTCTGGCTAAAAATCTCAGGTGCTGGGTTCCATCCCATGTCCCTCCCTGCCTGAAGCAGGATGTGAAGACACAAAGATAATTGGGAAACCTGGTCTGCCCCCAAAGAGCTTGTGGTCAGGTAGAGGGCCTAGAAACATGAGCATATCAGCACACTGCACGAAGTAGCATGGCTGACATTTGAAAAGGCGCAGGCGTGAAGCAGTGATAGAAATCGGATTTGCGGCCTGCCTGCTCTGGGCCTGGTACTTTACTTGGGTTAACTCCTTTATTTTTCACACGAGATGAGTACTGTTTTTATCCTATTTTACAGATGAGGAAAGTGAGGCTCAGTGAGATTAGTTATTCACCAGACCACTCAGCTAGTAAAGGAGCCACAGGCAGGGGGCACCACGGGCAGCCTCTTACTACATCACTACCTCCACACAGAGAGAAATCAGGAGGGAGTGATGAGTTCTGTGCTAAAGAGGTCAGGAAGGCCTCCCAGCAAGAGCGAAATGGAAGCTGAGCTTGCAGCCAAGAGCATGGGATAGAGAAAGGTGCTTTGGTCAGAGGAGGCAACCTGTGACCGAGAGGCAGAGAGGCGTAGCGTGTAGTGAGCTCTGAAGGGTCTGGTGGTGCTGGAGTGCAGAGAGGAGGTGGACAAGTCAGGTGGCAGGCCAAGTGGGAACAGATGGGGAAGAGCAACGACCCCAAGCTGAGGCTTTCTGCAGTCCTTGGAAGTCCATCTTTGTCCTTTGACTGCTGACCTCAGCAAACTCAGGGCTGAAGCTCTGAGCTCAATCTGTCTCTCTTATGGCAGGAGAGGTGCTGAGAGGGGACCGGATTGTCAACACCCCTTTCCAGGTTCTCATGAACAGCGAGAAGAAGTGTGAAGTTCTGTGCAGCCAATCCAACAAGCCTGTGACCCTGACAAAGGAACAGAGCCGGCTTGTGGCCGAGCGGATCACAGAGGACTACTATGTCCACCTGTAAGTCACTCCCTACTCCTCGCTGGCCTCAAATGCACATGGGGAGGGCCATGTGAGAGGCAGTCTAGAGGGACTGAGTGGGGCCTTGGGTTTCCAGCATTGCTGACAACCTGCCAGTGGCCACCCGGCTGGAGCTCTACTCCAACCGCGACGGCGATGACAAGAAGAAGGAAAAAGATGTGCAGTTTGAACATGGCTACCGACTCGGCTTCACAGATGTCAACAAGGTAGGGTGTCTATGCCGTGCTCAAAAGACATGGGAGCCATACCTCACAAGTCATGAGCACTCGGGGCCACAGAGAAGGGGAAACAGTCCACTCTAGGATTGTACCACAGAAAACATGGGGCCAGCCAGGTTTCCTTCAGTGCCCTGGGCCTGATAGTTTGTCAGAAGTCAGTGCTTTGGGCAAGGCCTAGTAGCTGCCACCAAGAAGTGGAAGTAGTCCCTAAAAAGTCAAGATACCAAGGCCAGCAGGTGGCATTGAGGTTAAGGCACTGAACTCCCATGTAGCTGATTACAGTTTGAGTCCTGGACCCACCAGCTTGAATCACACCAGGCATGTGTGCATGTTTGCTCAAGGTCCCAGGAGGAGAGTGAAAGAGAAAGGATTTGGGGTTGCCCATGCCCCCTGGGGTTCACTTCTCACTTTCCCTTTTTCTATCTCTGTCTCTCTGGCAAGTGGATGCACCCTATGGGAAAAACCTTAAAAAAAAAAAATCAAGATCCCTTTTTTATTTTTTATTTATTTATTTTTTTAGAGGTTTTTGCTATATGGTGCATGCGCTCGCCATAGACAGAGACAGAGACAGAAAGCGAGAAATCACCCCCCAGGGGGGATGGCCATGCCGCAGTCCCTTCTCCTCTAGTCTTCTCTCAGGATCTTGGGCACACATGCACACGTGCCCAGCATGAGTTCTAAGCCACTGGGTCCAGGACGTGAACCGTGGTCGACTACAAAAATGGAGGCACAGCTGGAACTCCCATGTAGCTGATTACAGTTTGAGTCCTGGACCCACCAGCTTGAATCACACCAGGCATGTGTGCATGTTTGCTCAAGGTCCCAGGAGGAGAGTGAAAGAGAAAGGATTTGGGGTTGCCCATGCCCCCTGGGGTTCACTTCTCACTTTCCCTTTTTCTATCTCTGTCTCTCTGGCAAGTGGATGCACCCTATGGGAAAAACCTTAAAAAAAAAAAATCAAGATCCCTTTTTTATTTTTTATTTATTTATTTTTTTAGAGGTTTTTGCTATATGGTGCATGCGCTCGCCATAGACAGAGACAGAGCCAGAAAGCGAGAAATCACCACCCAGGGGGGATGGCCATGCCGCAATCCCTTCTCCTCTAGTCTTCTCTCAGGATCTTGGGCACACATGCACACGTGCCCAGCATGAGTTCTAAGCCACTGGGTCCAGGACGTGAACCGTGGTCGACTACAAAAATGGAGGCACAGCTGGACCTGCATGGGAGAGGTCCTGGTTTGCGACATGTGCTGTGATCCTGCCTGGTTGGGGCAAGGGTGGTTTATGGCATGAGGACCTTATTGGGGATACCTAACCCTTCTCTCCAGCCCACTCGGCCCTCTGGTCTCCCTCACTCTCATGGAAGAGGTAAATACATTTAAAAATAGTAATAATGGGTCAGCCCATGGCGTGGTGGCTAAGTACCTGGATCCTACATGGCCAACTGCAAGGTTTGTGTCCCAGACCCCCGGCAGCTTGGTAAACATTCTGGGTGCCTGTGCATGCATGCCTGAAATCCCAAAAGGAAGGAGAGATGGAGGAAAGAGAATTATGGCATGACCATGCCCCGTGAGGGGTGCTTCTCATTCTTCCCCTCACTTTTGTTTCTGGCTAGTGCATGTGCATTTTGGCAAAGTTGCAAAAGAGAAGAATAATAGCCACCCCATCCCACCCCCAAAGTCTAGAACTTTTATCAGTATATAGAAGAGAGGGCTATGATCAAGAGCATGCAGACTCCCTGGGTTTAGATCCTGTCTCCACCACTTACGTTTGAGAGACCTTGAGCCTGCCTCTTCTTACCTATACAACATACATAATGTAGATTCCTGGCTCTTGGGGTTGTTAGAATAAACCAGACCAGCTGTGTGAGCATTTCACAGCACAGTCCTGAGAATAAGCTATTAAGAATAACAGCAATGGAGCCAGCAGGTGATGTAATGGTTAAGGCTGGATAACCACATGGCTGACCTCTGTTCAAGCCCCAAATCTGGGGCTAGCAGGTGGCATGGTGGTTAAGGGTGCTGGACTCCCACATGGCCGACTGTGGTTCGAGTCCCGGACCTGGCAGTTTGCTTTTTCTCTTTCTCTTTTTCTCTCTCTCTCTCTCTCTCTCTGTCCCTCTCTGGCCCAATTAAAAGAAAGAAAGAGAGAAAGAGAAAGAAAGAGAGAGAGAAAGAAAGCAAGCTTAAGAAAAAATTATTTTAAGATCATGTCAGATCATGCACATGTACGTGTATGCTCAAAATTCCAGAAGAATGGAGGAGAAGGGATCACAGCATAGCCATTACCCTGGGGAGTGCCTTCACACTTTGCCTCTCCCTGTCTGTCCCTATCTCTGTCCGGAGAGTGCTTGTGTACTATGGCAAAAACCTTAACAAAATAAATAACAGTGATGGTGTCAACAGATGGCATAATGGTTATATTGCTGGACTCCCACATAGTCAACTACAGTTCGAGTCCCAGACCCAGCTGCTTAAAACTCACACCAGGTGTGTGTGCATGCCTAAAATCCCAAGAGGAGAATGAAGGAGAAGGGATTGAAGCATGGCCATCCCTTCTGGGGGGGAGGGATTCTTGCTTTTTGTCTCTCCAGTGAGTATACGCACCTTAGAGCAAAAATCTCTCTTAAAAATAATTAATTAATTAATTAACTAAAATAACAGTGATGATTATTACTAGGATTCTTTCATCTTTCTAATTTTCAAAGCTGAACATATATTACTTAGCGTATAAAAGACTAGTATTTCCTTTGAGGTCCAACCCCTGTCCTCAAAAGCCCTCCTTCAGTTGATAGAAAGAGAACTGACAGTGTAGGTCCTGGATCTTAAGTCTTGCTTGCCTTCCACTGTCAGTGCCAGAAGAGTTCAGGACCCAGAGGAGGGGTGGCCTGGAAAATAGGTAGGCCGGAGCAGAGTTGAGGACAGCCTTCTAGTAGAAGTGAAGGTTGCTGATAGAGATGCAGGGTAGGGACTATTTCTAGGGCAGAGAGGGTCTAAAGAGACCAGGTGAGCTAATGTCTTAGAAGAGAACAGCCAGGTACCTCAGGGTCAGGTGATAAAAGGCATTGAATGCCAGGCTGAACAAATTGGGCTTTTGTCTGATAAGCTCAGGGACCCCTTCAGGCTTTCTGAGCAGGGGAGTGCTCTGATAAGGGCAGACTTTTGGGGAAGTTGGTACAGCCAGGTGTGCTGGGTGAGGGAGGAACCTTATACCTGGGGTAGACTCCCTGAGTGATGTTCTGATTGTTTCTTGGCTTCTAGCTATTTTGTTCTCTCCGTTGCTCCACTTTAGATCTACCTACATAATCACCTCTCATTCATCCTTTACTACCACCGGGAAGACATGGAAGAGGACCAGGAGCACACATACCGTGTCGTCCGCTTCGAGGTGATTCCCCAGAGCATCAGGCTGGAGGGTGAGTGGGGAGGTGTGATCAGAGGGGCAGGGCTGGATGGGCCTGGGCTTCCACACCCAGGGTCTGCTCACACAGCTCACTCCTAAACTGGCTGACAGGCCCGAGCACAGTGTATGGGCCCAGCCAAGGAAGGGGCACCATATTCCCAGTAGAGAAGGTGGGGGCAGGGAGAGTTGATATTTGCTGAGTCACAGACTGGCCCCTTACCAGTTTACCCTTTCCCAGGGCACACACACACACCCTGCTTCCTAGGAGGCACGTGGTGAGTTTAGATGAGGAACCAGAGACTCAGAGAGGCTAAGTGACTTGGCCAAGACCAAACAGTAAGTTGGGGTTTCCTGGGCCTCTTCACAGGAGGGACAAGGGCACAGACAGAACTGTTGGTAGCAAGTGTCTTCTTTGTTCTCCCCGTCTCTGTGTGAGCGATCAGCGTAGATTAAAAGTGGCCCCAGAGCAGCTGCCATGCAGGACTTGGAGAGCCCAGCCTAGTCCTGAGGACCTCAGATGACCTGCTTCAGCCCTATATCACCTGCCAGCCCTTGCTCACTACAGGGTGCTTTTCGTTAAGCAGCAGGCCTGGCCTATTGCCTGTGGTGGTGGTTTTCTGGCTTCTATTTAAAACTGTAGAAACTGGGACCAGCAGTTAGCATAATCGCTATGTCACTGAACTCCCATGTAGCTGACCACAGTTCAAGCCCTGGACCTGGTGGCTTAAACTCACACTGGGCGCGTGTGCGTGCTTGCCCAAGATCCCGAGAGGAGAATGGAGGAGAAGGCATTGCGGCGTGGCCATCCCCTCCTGGGGGATGATTTTTCGCTTTCTATCTCTCTGTCTCTGTCTCTCTTTCTGGCGAGCGCACGCACCATATGGTAAAAACCTCTCCCCCCCAAAAAAAAACCCCAAAACTGTAGAAACTAGTTTTCAAACAAAATCATACACATTAAAAGCACCTTATTGCCCTCCTCTGGGAGTGTCAGAAGCAGTTTCTCGTTCACGTAGGTGAGTATTCTGAGGTCGTTGGCTCAGTGACATTAGGGCCTCTTCTTTCCCACCATTCTCTCTCCAGCAGCCAGCACAGTACCTGACACAGTTGGTACTTATGTCCTTTTTGGTTGAATGAAAGGACCATGGCAGGATGAGTACTTGAGTTAGTAAATGGAGAAAGCAGCTGAGTGATTGAGTTACTGGAGCGCAGGGACTTTGGAGACAGACTGAGTAAATGAGTAAACTTGATACAGTGAGTCAGCATTAGTTTTGTGTATAGAACAGGACTCATTGACTGAGTAAGTGAATGTGTGAATTGAGTGAAAGAAGACTGACTAACAGAGGGATCGGTCTCAGACCTCCTCTCTCCACTCTTCACATGCACTCATCTCTCCTAAGGCCCCTAAGGCCCTCTGGAAAGTCAGGGCTCTAAGGAATATATATTTTTTTAACTTTTTATTTATGTATTTACTTTTAATTTGACCAGAGAGGGACAGAGCAAGAGCAAGAGAGAGAAAGTGAGAAAGTAAGCTGCCAGGTCCAGGACTTGAACCATGGTCAGCCATGTGGGAGTCCAGCGCCTTTAACCCCATGCCACCTGCCAGCTCCAAAGGAATGTACTTTCTAAAACCATTGTTGCCCACTGTGTTCTCAGCCTCACCTCATCCTGGGAACCAGGGTCCTAGTAGCCGGGGCCTCGAGGGCACCCCTAGAATAACCCTGAAGCACTGGCACTGGCCACCACAGGTATAGACCAAGTCTCTGTCTCTCACAGACCTCAAAGCAGATGAGAAGAGTTCATGCACCCTGCCCGAGGGTGCCAACTCCTCACCCCAGGAGATCGACCCCACCAAGGAAAATCAACTGTACTTTACCTACTCTGTACACTGGGAGGTGAGCAGGGCTGGGAGCTCACGGGCAAGGGAGGAAGGTTCTGGTCTGGGCCGGGATTTGCTAGCAGGAGGCCTGACTGTTAAGTGCTTCTTCCCGCTTGCTAGGAAAGTGACATTAAATGGGCATCTCGCTGGGACACTTACCTGACCATGAGCGACGTGCAGATCCATTGGTTTTCTATCATTAACTCTGTCGTGGTGGTCTTCTTCCTGTCAGGTGAGAGATCTATGGGTTAAAGACGGGGAGAGGATGAGGTGGGCGTTGAGGATCTGAGGCATCAACATCACTTACAGGGGACTTCTAAGGTATTCTTGGGGTCAAGTATGGGTAAAAACATTAGGTGCGTATAGGTGAACAAGACTCACTGCTCGGGAGAGCTCACTAGGGGAAGACGGACATGTCTGTTCACATGCACATTCATCGATTCATTCAACAAGATTTTGTTGTTTGCCAAGCGCATTGCCAGATGCTGGGGATTTGGTATTGAGCAAGACCAGCTCAGTCCGTGCCCTCAGTCCCTATCCTAGTAGAGTTCCAGCTAGCGATGAATGATGTGAAGCAGATAACAGGGTGACCAGATGCACAAGGGTTGGGGAAAGGCTAAAGACTCCTTTAGGGAAGGCCTCTCTGAATGAGTGGGAGGAGCCACCATTCAGGGTCCTCCCCTGATTGGAAAGACCGTTCCAATGAGCATTACTGCCTTCAGTGAGACAGCTTAGCCAGAAACTGAGAGGCTGGGGGGCAGAGGTGGCATGACATCGATCATCTCAATATCACGAGAAGCGAAGGTGATACTAGCTGCTGCTCTTTCCTCATTTACCAAGGAGCCAGCTGTTGTTCTAAGCACCTTACCAACATCTCAGTCTTTGATGCCACATGCGTCCAAGAAACAATAAGTGAGCCCATCGTCAATAGCCTATTCTCGTAACCACTACGCTGTTTCCTGGAGAGGGAAACAGGGCACCGCGGAAGTACAGATGGCCAGGGTGTCTCTGAACTGTTTGGAGGTGCTGAGAGGGGAGGCTGCTAAGGTGAATCTTAAAGTATGAGTAGGAGTCCTTTACCCCTGACAGAATGGATAGCCTGAGTAAAAATGAGAGAGGTGAGAGGGAGAAAAGGCTGTGACTGCCAACCGGACAGAGCAAATAGAGGTAGAATGAGAGGCAAGCGTGGGGGAACTGAGGCTGGAGGAGTTAGTGGGATGAAGTCATGGAGGAACTGGGATGCTCTTCTCCCTTCATACAAAGCAGTGTCCTCTGGCTGTCCCCATCTCAGCAGCCCTTTCCTCTCCCGTCTGGGGAGCAACCGTCAGTGCACCCTCCCCAGGTACCAGAAGTGGAGTGCTGCCAGGAGGACCTAAGTTGCTGCATAGCCAGTTGCTCCTGGAGGAAGCCGTGTGTGCCAGCTGTCACACGGGGACACACTGAGCCTTGGAGGGTGTGCAGCACTGGAGACTGCCAGCAATGCTGACGCCTCCTCCTATCCCTGTCTGTTTCAGGCATCCTGAGCATGATTATCATTCGGACCCTCCGGAAGGACATTGCCAACTATAACAAGGAGGACGACATTGTACGAGGTCTTGGCGGGAGGGATGGACTTCAGTGAGGGAGAGCAGCCTAGCAGTAGGGCTCCAGGCCTATCAGATCAGGAGGGGTGTGTGTGTGTGCGCATGTGTGTGTGTGTGCATGCGTGCGTTCATGTGTGTATCATCACTCACAGAGTAAACCTCAAAAATATAGAAAAGGAGGAAAAAATGTTTCATCATCCAAAGTGATGAGGATCAGCTTTCTTTTTTCTTTTCTCTTTTTTAATTGTCAGAGGGTATGTACACTCACTAAGGACAGAAAAAACACCACCCCAAGGGGGCATAGTCATGTTGCAATCTTTTCCCTCTATTTCTCCATCCCATCAGGATTTAGGGCTCACACACATTTCCAGTGTGTTTTTCAAGCTGCTGAGTCTGGGATTCAAATCCCAGCTGGCTGTGTATGATCTGGTTCCCATACCACCATGTTACAGGACCTACCCAAAGGGCAGGCTTTCTACTATTAAAGCATAAAAACAGTGGCAGAAATCACCAAAAGAAAACTTAATAATTTTTACATTTAAAAACTTTAGACTGTTCTACATATCAGTCACATTCAAAACCAGCAAGTGAAGTGTCAAACAGTATTTTCAACAAACTTGAAAAAAGTTGTACAGTTGAAAGAATCACATAAATTCTCTATTAAAAAGCTAATATAGGGGGAACCAGCAGTTAGCGTAATGGCTGTGTCGCTGGGCTCCCACGTAGTCGACCGCGGTTCATGTCCTGGACCCAGTGGCTTAAAACTCACGCCGGGCGCGTGTGTATGCGTGCCCAAGATCCCGAGAGGAGAATGGAGGAGAAGGGATTGCGGCGTGACCATCCCCCCTGGGGGGTGATTTCTCGCTTTCTGTCTCTATGTCTCTGTCTGTCTGGCGAGCGCACGCGCCCTACAGTGAAAATCTCTCCAAAAAAAAAAAAAAGCTAATATATCTGATGTAATGACAGGGAAAATTTACAGAGAACTATACTACATGGGTGGTAAGCATGTTAAACACTTTTTATCTTAGGAATTGCCCTAAAAAATATAGGTTTAAACTCGTGAGAATACAGTTTTATACCATCAAATTAGCACAATTTTTTTTAGGAGACTTTTACTATAGGGTGTATAGAGAGACACAGAGAGAGACAGAAAGTGAGAAATCAGTCCCCAGGGGGGATGGCCACGCTGCAGTCCCTTCTCCTTTTGGGATTTTGGGCACACATACACATGTGCACAATATGTTACAAGTTGCCAAGTCTGGGACACAAACCACGACTGGCCATGTAGGAGTCCAGTGACATAAACATTACACTATCTGCTGGTCCCAGCACACATTTTTGTAATAGTACTAATGGTTGGCAGGTTACCGTGAGAACGGTGCCTTCCCATGCCACCCAGGGAAGTGTAAATCAGTAGTTATTCTGGAAAGTAATTGGCAGTGTATATCAAGAACTGTAAAATATGGAACTTGTTTCAACACGGTAATTCTATACTTTTCCTGAGGAAGAAATCAAAAAAATGAAGATGGTCTAGAAGTATTTATTGCAGTTGTGAAATACAATTTCAAAGTTTGTTTGATGAGGAAATACTCATGATCAAAGTCAGCTGAAAATAAGAAAGTACATAGTCTGACCTCAGTCAGGTATACATACATGCAGAAAAACGTACGGAATGAAAGGAATACATCCAAACAGTGCTATCATTACATAGAATTATAAATCATTTTTTATATCTTTCTGTATTCTACATTTTTATAGTAAATATTTGTTGCTTTTTGTTCATTTGCATTTCATGTGATATACCAAAATGACATTTCTATTTGTTGATTTTTTTATTTCATGAGAGAGACAGACAGGCACCTCAGCAGGTCTTCATACACCGCCCCCCCTAGCCTCGGTCAGCTGAGGTCATGGGCAAGTGCGCATGTGCTGCTGTGTGGCTCTGTGTGTGTCAGCCTTCCCGAGTTGACCCAGCACTGAGCAGGGTTGTGTTAGCACCCTGTTGCTGGCAGGCCCATTCTACATTTTTTTTTTCATTACACAAATACAGCTACCTATGTCTTTTTAATTTTTAAAATTTCTTTCTTTCTCTCTTGTTCTCTTTTTTTCTCTAATTGACAGAAGGCACATGTGCTCATCAGAGAGAGAGAATGAAAGCATGCCCCAGAAGGGCAAAGCTATGCCCTCCTTTTCCTCCATTTCTCCATTCCATCAGGATTCTGGGCACGCACACACACACACCAGGCGTGTTTTACAAGTTACCAGGGCTGGGATTTGAACTGTGGTCAGTCACATGGGTTCCAGCTCCCTGTGCATAGTGCTTATCTGCTGTGCTGTAGGGCCAGCAGATACTTCCTTTATAGTCAGAAAAATACAAGCAGACAGACAGACATAAAATTGGGTGGTGGCTCCTAAGTCTGACTACCCAAACACCGTTACAGTTAATGTTTTAATATGATTGCATCGCTTTTCCATGCACTAGTCCTGTGGAATCCAGGGAGGAGAGTTTCCTGTTACTCAGCTTACAGCCTTATGTTTGTGACCTTCTCCCATGTAACAACTGTGCAAGAGGTGTTTTCTCATATCACGTGCACTCCTGTGTCAGGGCAGAGCTGGGTAAAACCTGAGGGATCCTCAGCCTGGGTCAGGAGGCCTGGGGCCTTGCGGGTGGTTCCTGTGAGAGCTGCCTCCCTCCTCCAGAACCAACCTCACTCTGGCCATTCGCTGCAGGAAGACACCATGGAGGAGTCTGGATGGAAGCTGGTGCACGGTGATGTCTTCAGACCACCACAGTACCCCATGATTCTCAGTTCCCTGCTGGGCTCAGGCATTCAGCTCTTCTGTATGATCCTCATTGTCATCTGTGAGTAGGCCAGGTGGGGCTGGGGTGAGGGCCTGTCCCCAGAGGAGGGTTGGCCTGATTCTGAAACGTGGCTCTGCTTCTGTGTGCTTCAAGAGGAGAGTGGCCTTCCATCCCCACCCCACCCACCATGAAGCCAGGTGCCAGATGGTAGACATGTCTGTCTCTGGGAGGCCCATTCTACATTTTTTTTTTCATTACACAAATACAGCTACCTATGTCTTTTTAATTTTTAAAATTTCTTTCTTTCTCTCTTGTTCTCTTTTTTTCTCTAATTGACAGAAGGCACATGTGCTCATCAGAGAGAGAGAATGAAAGCATGCCCCAGAAGGGCAAAGCTATGCCCTCCTTTTCCTCCATTTCTCCATTCCATCAGGATTCTGGGCACGCACACACACACACCAGGCGTGTTTTACAAGTTACCAGGGCTGGGATTTGAACTGTGGTCAGTCACATGGGTTCCAGCTCCCTGTGCATAGTGCTTATCTGCTGTGCTGTAGGGCCAGCAGATACTTCCTTTATAGTCAGAAAAATACAAGCAGACAGACAGACATAAAATTGGGTGGTGGCTCCTAAGTCTGACTACCCAAACACCGTTACAGTTAATGTTTTAATATGATTGCATCGCTTTTCCATGCACTAGTCCTGTGGAATCCAGGGAGGAGAGTTTCCTGTTACTCAGCTTACAGCCTTATGTTTGTGACCTTCTCCCATGTAACAACTGTGCAAGAGGTGTTTTCTCATATCACGTGCACTCCTGTGTCAGGGCAGAGCTGGGTAAAACCTGAGGGATCCTCAGCCTGGGTCAGGAGGCCTGGGGCCTTGCGGGTGGTTCCTGTGAGAGCTGCCTCCCTCCTCCAGAACCAACCTCACTCTGGCCATTCGCTGCAGGAAGACACCATGGAGGAGTCTGGATGGAAGCTGGTGCACGGTGATGTCTTCAGACCACCACAGTACCCCATGATTCTCAGTTCCCTGCTGGGCTCAGGCATTCAGCTCTTCTGTATGATCCTCATTGTCATCTGTGAGTAGGCCAGGTGGGGCTGGGGTGAGGGCCTGTCCCCAGAGGAGGGTTGGCCTGATTCTGAAACGTGGCTCTGCTTCTGTGTGCTTCAAGAGGAGAGTGGCCTTCCATCCCCACCCCACCCACCATGAAGCCAGGTGCCAGATGGTAGACATGTCTGTCTCTGGGTCAAACAGCCATCCAGCCCAGCATCAACCCCAGGCCCTGGGACTGGTCCCCTCACAGCTTTTGCACACCATTAGCAGAGCCCACCATGTTCACCCTGTCACCGGAGCCACACATTGGTGCAGTGAGATTGGTCTCCTTTTGCAGTCAGAGGTTAAATTACTTACTTGAAGTCAGTACCAGGAGAATCAGGATCAAATCAGGCCTTTTAAAAAAAAAAATTAAAATTATATTTTTATGTACATTTATATTTATATAGATATATAGCTATTAATTAGTTATAGACAGCTCTGGAGTCAATCTGCCTAAATTTGTAGGTCAGCCTCATGCCTCCAAAGCCGTGGGACCTTGCACAAGCCACTTAACCTCAGAGAGCCTCAATTTTCTTCTCTGAGAAATGGAGAAATGAATTTTCACCTCTAGGCTTGGTAGGGCAAATTCAGTGAGCTGGCATTTGTAATGCTATGGCTAATTGCAGGGGTCCAGTGCAGATTCAGCAGCCCAAGGCCCAGCAGTGGCTACAGCCCTTTGAACCCCAGCTACGACCCAGTCTTCTCTTGTAGAGGGGACGGAACTATGCTGTTGAGGAGGCCAAGGGAGAAGGGAGTCTTACTGAGCCCCATTGGCACAAGGGTTCAAGTCCACCTGAGACGGGGGCTGGGGGCCTGCGATCCACTACCCTAACTTTCTCGGCCCTGCCCTCCCTCCCTCCACAGTTGTGGCTATGCTTGGGATGCTGTCACCCTCCAGCCGGGGAGCTCTCATGACCACGGCCTGCTTCCTCTTCATGTTCATGGGGTAGGTGTGTCTGAGTGGGAACTCGGGAGTGGTGCAAGCCACCTTCCCTCAGGCTAACAAGTCTCCTTGGCGTGGACTCCTGCCATTTCTCCATAGGGTGTTTGGTGGATTTTCTGCTGGCCGTCTGTACCGCACTCTGAAAGGCCACCGGTGGAAAAAAGGAGCCTTCTGTGTAAGTGTCCCATATCGCCTGGGGTGTGGTGCGGAGCCGAGGGCTCCTCCTGAGGAGCATGGGCAGGTCCTGCGAGTGGTGGTTTCAGGCCAAGGCCCAGCAGTGCAGCTGCTGGAGCTCAGGGCTGAGTGTCAGGAATGCTGGGCTTACCCCACACTTGCAGCAGGGCTTCTCAGGGCCTGAGGCATTGCCCTGTTTTTGAGCTGAGAGGTGTGAATGCAGGGCATTTTTAGTCTACATTACCTGATGAATAAAAGCTAGAGAAGAAATAGCAGATTCAGAAAACGGGATTTAGTGCAGCATAGGCTCCTGGGAGAACACCCTGCCTGGCAGACTCATGTGAGGAGTAGAATTGCCTATGGGGGGACCAGCAGTTGGCGTAATGTCTATGTCGCTGGACTCTCATGTAGTCGACAGTGGTTCGAGTCCTGGACCCGGTGGCTTAAACTCATGCTGGGCGTGTGTGCGTGCCCTAGATCCCGAGAGAAGAATGGAGGAGAAGGGATTGCAGCATGGCCATCCCCCCTGGGGGTGATTTCTCACTTTCTGTCTCTCTGTCTCTGTCTTTCTGGCGAGCGCATGCCCTGTAGCAAAAATCTCTCTCAAAAAAAAAAAACTTAATAAAGACCTACTGAGATGAAAGAGGTCAGACCCGTTTTGCCGCCAGTCTGCTTTCCGGGCATTGGTGCCTTCATTCCTCTCACAGGCCAGCTCCTGATTTTCTGGGCCTTCTGGGGAGTGAGGAGAGGACTAGGCAGCAGCGAAGACTGTAGAAGCTGAAGTGGGCCTGTGCGCTGACCTCACTTCTCTTCTCCCGGAGCTAGTGAGTCCCTTAGAGGAGCAGGAAAGCCCTTGAGTGCCCAGACTCGAGGAGCCTCTAGTCCCCACCTTCTAAACCATCCGCCCAGCTGTCAAAGCCCAGGGAGCTCAGGCTGAGTTGGCTTGGGCTGCCATGCCTTGGGCACATAGCAAGCCTTCAGAAGCGCTGGGACTGTAATTATTCTGGAAGGATCAAACAGCTCTCTGAATTTTTGATGATTCGAGCGTTTTTCTCAGGCCACTGTGTGCAAGGAACTAGGGATCTAGAGAAGAGTAGATCCACCACTCCCCTCTTCTAGATACCCTCCAGGATCTCTCTCAGTGGATCCTGCACCAAACCCAGTCACTTCCCCAAACCAACCCTTATAGCTGGTAGCCCCATCAATCCTGGACAGCCTCCTTTCCTCTAGCTCTTCCCTCATGCCTCCACTTCTCAGACACCAAGTAGCCAGAGTTTTCCTGCCAAATGCTTGTGAATCCCCTTCCGTCTTCATCTCCAAGGCTCTGGCCCAGATTCAGGCATTCTTGCCTCTCGCTTGAACTATCCTGGCCCTCTGTGATCTTCCTGCAAGATTCCGACCTTTCCCTGGGGCTCTGCCTTCCCTCCACAGGCAGACACCTGCTGCAGGCTCATTGGTGTGGGTATACACCTGCTGTCCTCTCCCTCCAGCTGGCTGGGCCACACCACCGCCTCTCACTCCCCACCTGGCTAATGCTGCCTCATCCAGTGTTCGTGTCACTCCTCTGGAAGCTTCCTCCCTGCTCTTGCCCCACATTTTGACCTCAGTACCCTCTGCTCCACAGGAGCCTGGGCAGGGCCTTGTGCCTACGAGTCAGGTTGCATGTGGTGTTCTCCATGGTCTGTCTTTCTCCCGGAGCTTCCTTCCTGTTTGTACCCTGGCATGGTATCTGGCATGGTGCCCAGTTCCTAAATTTCAGCCAGGACGGCAGGCGAGGACTTTCCTGCTACACAGCAGGATAAAGCAGGAACGCAAAGGAAGGAGGGAAGTGACATTTGAGTGGGGCCTTGAAGACAAGTTTCAGATGAAGGGAAGCAGCTAGCAGAAGGCCCCCCAGTCCTGGCTCTGTTCTTTCTCTTGGTTGATAGCTTTGAGTAGCCTTCTGAGCCTCAGTTTCTCCATTCTCCAGTGGAGTTAGTTGTGTCTACCTCTCAGTCTTGTATGGATGGAGAGAGGCTGTATCTTAGGCCCTTGGTGTGGCATCAGCACTCGGGAAGCACACACCCTGAGGTGCCATTGGCCTCCGTAAATGCCCAGGGGCAGGACTGTGCAGGAGCAGTGACCAGTTGTTGGGATGTGTGTGTGTGTAGGGAGGGGGGATGAAACTGGCCATGGAGAGTGATCACCAGGTTGCAGAGGGCCTGGGTTCGTATGTCAGTGGCATGCTTGGATCCTTGGTCTGTGCACAGTGTGGCAAGAGGAAGGTCCCTTGGAAGTCTGGGGCTTTGGTTTCCTGTGCTAAACCCCAGCCCCAGAGGTTCTGACTAAATATCCTAATACTAGAGACTCCAGCCTGCACCCCAGTAGGTCAAGAGTATGGGCTCTAGCCGGGAGTGAGACCACCTGAGCGTGACCCTCTGCTCCAGCTTTCACGAACTGTGCCAAGTTGGAGAGGAGCATTTGACATTGCCGGGCCTCCCAGTGCCCACCTGTAAGGGGGCTCCTTTCTAGAGCTATGGTGAGGAGTAGGTGAGACGGTGTATGCAGAGCTCAGCATCTGCCATCCCCAAGATCAGTTACAGCTTTATCATCCTTTGAGTGATTTGGGTGTGTCCAGACATGCAGGTTTTATGGAAGTTTTGTTTATTCGTGTATCCAGTAAACATCAGTTGTGCCGTGCTGGGTGAAGGCAGTATGTCAGAGAACAGGTAGAAGCTCCCTTCCTCAGGAGCTCACAGTCCAGGGCGGGTAGGCAGACACCGTCAATAAGCACAAATACGCAATTGCAGACTAAGACTGGAGCAGTGAGGGGCAGCTGCAGGGATCTAGGGGCGCTAGAGCAGGGTGCCTGCCTAGTCTGGGGCAGAGAACATTTCCTAGAAGGAATGATACTAGGGCTGAAGGCCAAGAGGGGTTGAGAATTCCAGGTCTCAGAGTCCCACTGAGACCAGCACTCCCCAGATGCAGCTCTGTAACCTGGTGCCTCTTGCTCCCAGACGGCAACGCTGTACCCTGGAGTGGTTTTCGGCATCTGTTTTGTATTGAATTGCTTCATCTGGGGAAAGCATTCATCAGGAGCGGTAAGTGCCCTCCCCTCTGAGCCCCTCCCCAGCAAGAGCAGCCGCCTCTGCCCAGCCCTGCTCTCAAAGGCCACTTCCTGCTGTTCCCTTCCCTTTTCTCAGTCCCCCAGTTCTGTTCCCAGCCTCAGGGCTGGGGTTTCCTCAGTGCTGCCCATGGCCTGACCCTGGCCTTCCTGTGTGCTCTTTCACTCAGCTGGCCAAAACTTCTCTTAAGGGAATTCCGACAGTCCAGGGGCCAACCGGGGAATTTCCCTTTGTCACAACCAAGAGAGAGCTGACTGGCGTGGCTGTATTAGGTCAATATCCCAAAACAGGACTATCTTCTTCCACATCCCTGCCCCTCAGCACCAGCCTCTGTAGGTGGAGGCAGAGAAGATGGGATGGTGAGATTGTCCTATGCTCAGAGTAGGGGATCCCGCCAGCCCTGTCTCCTGCATTGCTAGCAGCTGCGCAGGACTGGTAAGCAGGATTCTGTCTCGTTTGTGATGGGGAGATGAGGTCTTGACCAATTTGCAGGGCTGTGGTAGAGGTGGGGCAGGCCTTTTTGCCATCCCAGCCTTAGCAGGTAGAGCCGCCTATCCTCTCCCTTTGAAGGTTATTAACTGAGGCCTCCAGTCTAGGCATCTGGAGGGCTGCATTCTTCCCCAGCCATTTAGGAAGCTGCCCTAAGTGCAGACAGAGCCACATTCTTTGTCTCACTTCCTCCTTTTTCTACCTGTGTCCCTTCTCTCTTTCAGCATTGTCTTCCCTATTACCAGCTACTCATAAACATGTATTGCAGACATTTTGGAAAGTACAGAGAAGTCAAAGTTGAGAAATTAAAAATACCCATAATCCAGGCTGGCCAGCCCCATGGCACAGTGGTTAGGCATTGCACCAAGGAAGCCACGTCCCACATGGCCAGCCAGAGTTTGAATCCTGGCACGTGTGGCCCAGGATCCTGAAGAAATTGGAGGAAGAAAGTATCCATAATCCAACTACCCAGAGATAAATACTATATAGACTAAAAAATTTGTCCTTTCAGTATTTTTTTCCTTTAAACAGATATATATTAAACAGAATTATGTAATTTAAAAGTTATAAAATAGGGACCAGCAGGTGGCATAGTGGTTACATCACTGGACTTCCACATGTCTGCAGTTCGATTCCCAGACCCTGCGGCTTGAAACTCATGCTGGATGCACGTGCATGCATGCTCAAGATCCCAAAAGGAGAAGGGAGAAGAAGGGATTGCGGCGTGGCCATCCCCCTGGGGGTGATTTCCAATTTTCTCTCTCTCTCTCTTTGTATATGTGTGTATATGTCTGTCTCCGAAGAACACACGTGACCTATAGCAAAAAGCTTTCTTTAAAAAAAAAAAAGTTAGAAAACAATAGCAAATATTTGTATGATACTTTGTAGTTGTTGATTTTTTAGAGATTTTTACTATAAGGCATGTGTGCTTACCAGAGAGACAGATAAGAGACAGAAAGTGAAAAATCACCCCTGGGGGGCATTACCATGCCACAGTCCTTTCTCCTCCATTCTCCTCTTGGGATTTTAGGCAAGTATGCACATGCACCTGATATGAGTTTGAAGTTGCCGGATCTAGGACTTGAACTGTGGTCGACTACATGGGAGTTCAGTGACATAACCATTCTCTATCTGCTGGTCCCAGTTGTTGTTTTGAGAGATTTTAAGGGGAGATGAGATGATTTTGAAGGTGACACCTCTAGCTGCCAACCATCTATATCCATTTGTGAGGAAAAGAATTCATCTTGTTTGTGCTCCGAGAGCACCAGGGGCCAGCAGATGGCGTCGTGGTTACGTCATTGGACTCCAACATGGCTGACCACAGTTTGAGTCCCAGAGCCAGTAGCTTGAAAATCACACTAGATGACCATCCCCTAGGGGGTGACTTCTCACTTTCT